TTTCCCTGGCTCCCGGCACAACTGGGCTTCCCACCTGGTTATGCCCACCTTTCTCCCTTGCTGTTGATTTCAAGCCCTCTCTTCCCTCCCAGGCAGTGCTTAGCTCTCCCATCTCTTCCTCATTTCTTTTTTTTTTTGCTCCCTATCTCCACATTGTGGTTCCTATTTGGCTTATACATTCAGTGCCTCTCTGCACATCTTGCTCATCCCATGCAAACCCCTGCCACTTTCCTCAGGCAGAGCTGACCTTTTGGCACAGACATACCAGTCTCATAATTTTCCAGGCTGCTTCTGTTAGTTACTAAGATGGTGGGTAAATTTGTTAGGGCGGGGGAAGTGGGCAAGGCAGATATCACCTACCACAGTTTGTATTACATGATCCAAAAGATTATCAAAAGAAGTTAAATTATTTTCAATATTAAGATATACCTGACTTGTTATAGATTTGATTTTATAAGCAGCAAAGGGATGGGCTTATTAACATCTCATTAACAATGCCTATTTCAGTTTACCTGAAATAAAAACCTGAAAACTTCTGAAGCACAATAAGAAGGAAAGCCTTTAACTATCCTGTTTCTCACAGGCTGCAAGCTGCAAAGTATGGAGGAAGCTGATAATGCTCTTCCAGTTCCTGAGTACTTCAGCTTAAAAAATAGTTATATGACATTAGCAAACATCATTAATAAGCTCACTAACAGCTGGCTGAAAAGCTAAAGACAAACATCTACAAAACTGTTGAAGTGTAAAATAATGTAGAAACACCTGAAGATACATCTATTGACAAGCAGGTGTCCGGCACGTGAGATTAGTCACTGGTAGCTTTGGGCACCATGGAAGGTTTGGCTAGCTGTGTCTTCCAGTATGGGAATTTGTGGACCACATCTGATCAGATTTTGCAAGAAGAGATTAAGTGGATAAAATTGATGCAGATGTATTTGTGGCTTCTACACACCACTGGTCACAAATTGTGTTTGTGTTCTTTACCACGTTAGTTCAAACAAGTGATTAAATGAGCAACTCCCAACACTTAGCAAAAACGGGCTCCTATGGTATATTAAAATGCCTCTAATAATGCTACATAACTAGGTCCAAATTCTCTTTCGGATCTCTTCCCCTGATACAAGATTTATTAACTTGAGCTGTATTTATTGGCATCCACTGCAGGGACAAGATAGGTCTCCAGTTGGCTGTGAAAGTTTTCATCATCCTTAAGCACCAGGAAAGGAATTTCCAGATCCAATTAGCAAAGCCTCCGCCCCTACAGTCTGAGCAGTTGCACCGAGTATCATTAATCACTCTATCAAATGAAGCGTTCCCCACCCTCCTGGTAGGAACAAGTTACTGAAAAACATTCCTCATTACAATTACTATTTAGTATTACATTGCAATACATCTGGCAATGATGTTTGGTTTTTATGTTTAACTAAACCACGTGTACTTGCAGTTGGCTTAACTGTAATGTAAAATACCTGTATATTTACCTGCATTTATCAGCTCTCCTTCCCTGTGACCTACCAGTAAATAAATATTGCATCACATGCCTGCATATATTATATGCAACCTGACTCATCACATCACACATGATATTCATGCTAAATCTATCTAAAGCAGCAAATAACAAACAGCAGCATAAACAGAGCATCTTCACAACTGTTTCCTTTTTGGCTACATGCTTATTCTTGCACTGGAAGAGCTGCTGGACTAGAGAAGTTGGTTAATGTTTGCACTTCCATGGCTCCTGGAAGACTAAGACACTCAAATAGTAGAAAGAAATATTCACAAAAGAGCTGTCAGGGGAAATAGAAAAGTTTTCCCTAAGGTGCACAGTTAACAGTACAGTGTGTTTGACTGCCACTTAGGCTCCCTTTCCTTCATGGGGAGAAATGAGATGCATAATCTGTTTGTACTCCTGACTTTTCCCCATCCAATTAGAACATTGTTTCAAAGGACTCTTGCCCTTAAGTAGGCAATGTAATCCAATAGATTTACATTGATGTGGTCTGGGTTATGTCATCTTCTGACATGACAGGCTTCAAAGTACAAAGTAATGTCGTCTTCCAGAGGGGCAGGGGGAAGGGATACAGCCACAGACTTCTGAGAACTCAAAGGCATGTCTCCATGATGAACAAAATGAACTGAAATCTGACTAAGTGCTACTAAAAAAAAATTCAAGAGACAGGGACGTTTATAGCTTCAGTGGTCAGAGCACAGCTTTGAACATTATTATATGGTTCAACAGTGAAAAAAGGTATTTTGCAACCTCAGCTGTCTAGTCTCCTGCTCTGCTACTGTACCAAGTAATGCCAGAGAAGACTGCTAAGATCACTGCTCCACTGCAAACCAGGTTAATGGACAACAACTAAATATAGTGAGATCCTCATATTAAGACAGGCCAGGGAAGTCTATCTATACCTCCTACTTGTATATTTATGGCTTTGGCTGAGCTCTGGGTGCAGTGTACACTGAAAGGTAGAAGAACAAAGACTGGGATTTTCAAGGGGAACTCAAGGCCTTCTCCATCCTTTGAAACATGATAAGCCAAGAAAGACACTCCATGCTGTAGTCACATGCTCCGTGGAAGCTGTAATCTCACAAGGACACAGATATGGCCATGCAAATATGGGTTATGCCTATGCTAACAACCGGGGTATGTCCCCAGAGCTCCTAAATGGCTTTTAATCTAGCTGCCAACATGTGTGAAAGCTTGTGCTGAACCAGCTTCATTTCTCTTGTGCTCCTGTTAGCCAGGAGCACGCTACCCTTCAATACCCTAACTTGAGAGGTGAGAGCATAAGCTGGCAAATTCTTAATTTAAACCTCTGGAGGTAAAAAGGAGAGGAGCTGCCTGCCGCACTGGGGACAGATGTCATGATTGCAGGCAGCAAACACAGCAAAAGGGCAGCTGGTAATGGGCATTGAGAAACCAGCTGCATTTTCAACATCCCCTTCAAACAAACCACCTCCAACATAATAGTCCTTGCAAAAACCAGGCTGAAGCTAGCATAGCTAGCTATCCGTGCTATCACCACTGCTTCACTCTGCATAGCTTATCTCGTGTTAAGTAATATAGAACATACTGTAAAATCCTAGTATAGGCTAAACAAGTTGTAACATACCTCAGATGGTCAAAGCAAAGTGTTAGAAGGTAATTGTCTTTGTGTCTGCTCAGCCCCAGCCTGTGCAAGACTCCTGTGTCAGAGAGCTGACAGCAAATCTCAGACATGGGGGAGGTAGAAAGCAGACACAGGAGGGAAAATGCCGCAAACATCTTAAGGGGAGGGCTTGTCTTAATGGATTTTTGTCATTATTGAATTCAGTCATGAGTAAAGGCCAAACTTCCCTAAGACAGCTTGAAAATAAGAACCTACCTCTGTTTCAAAACCCATCAATAGGTACTTTCCCAAGGCTACTACCTGCACCAGGCATTTGGCTCAGCGGGTGCTCAGCATCGCCGGATGCACAGAGAAACCCTTGACCAAAAGCATCCGAACTTCTGCCAAGAGCAGTGCCGGTCCTTCTGCAGAGCCATTCTGGGGGGGACCTCAGAGAGAGGAGGCCTTTGTACAGGCCTTGAGATGACTCCCAGTGCCAGAAGCGACCTGGCACAGGAGCACAGCTGAATCACAGCTGCAGCAATTACACTAATTGTCCAAGGGACAAAACAATTGCACTTGTCTGACTGGTCAGGGCATGACAGGAGCCCGACACATTTTTCTTTGTGAAAGCATTTTGCCTTGAAGTAAATTTCCAAAACAAAGTCCCTTTAACTCCAAGCCTTTCCAGACTTCTTCCTGGCAAGTGCAATTTATTCTTTCTAAAAAGAAGAGCTTTAAAAGAGATGTTACTCAGGAGAGTGAGATCTCACTGCTGTTGGCTTTCACTGCCATCTGTGAAGGAGGTAACCTTGAATTTCCATTACATTGTGATGAAAGTTGAGGTCTCAACTCCAACCAGCTCCCCGAAAAACACCTAGGGTGCAGCCCAAGGTCCCTTTTCTTGTTGCACTTCTGTTCCCCGTCAAATGGGACTGCCTCTGTTAGGGAGATCATTCCTGGCCCCATGTGAGCCAAGCTGTCTGGCCCCTGCCTCGGGGCCCACTCAGCAGCTGCAGTGGGAGAGCTGGAGAAAGGCCTGTCTTGAACCTACTGGTGCACAAGCTGTGGAGGAAAATTGTGATTGCTCACACCGGGAGCTGCACCCACACTCACAGATAGCCAATGCAGCACACAGAGCCACGCATCTGACTTGGAAAGAGCTGCACTTTGCACCACCTTCAGAGGCCAAAATAATCCAGACTGATGCACAGTTACAGGTGCTGGACTCGCTGCAGGTACAAACCCAGCACCAACCAAGAGCCCCAGAGACTCCACCAAGCTCCCACAGGTGCAAACAAAGCAAAGCAAGGGACCTTTCCCTCCCATTGCCCACAGGAGCACTGACAGCATTGAACATCCTGACCATTACCAGCAAAGAGAAAATCCAGAGTTTTCTGCCTATTTCTTTAGGACCACAAATCAATGGCAAAACTGATGGGGAGAGGTGACTTTGCCCCAGAGGGCCACAGTGTTGTGGAGCTGGAGGACCCCAGCAGTCCCCATGGTTGGTGGAACTCGGAACCAGTGTCCAGGCACCCCAGTCACCTTGGTCACCCCAGCACATTTTGGTCCAAACACAGCTCTGTGGCAGTTTTCCTTTCCTACCTGGTGCGAGTGAGGCCCCTGGGAAGGGAGAGGGGGTCTGTGTGCCATGGAGGAGACGGGCTTTAAGGATGAAGTGGACAGAGCCAGGTCAAGGGATGGCAGCAGGGACAGTACGGACAGCCAGGTGAGCACAGGCAGGGAGATCAGCACGTAGTGAGAGCGAAGCAGAGTCCAGTTTCAATTTCACCTCTGAAATGTGGTTTGGGATCAAATTTGCAGAGAAGTAATCTTTCAAGGGAGCAGAGCATGTCAGAGGAAGGGACTTCTCTTCCTACACACTTCAGCATGTTTTAAAAGGCAACATAAGCTTGTGTTTAAGTCAGTTATATAAGTGTTGCTTTCCAAAAGATAAGTAGGGGAGTTACCTACACAAATGTTGGCACAGGGAAAACAGCCATTGCCCTTTGCAAGAGAAAATATCTCCTTCCCCGGACCAGAAAGATGCAAGTGGCTGAGGATTTTAGATTGTTTTCAATCTGGCTTTGCAGTAGGTCAGCCATGGTACCTTTGCCATCAATAAAAGCTGCGGATGGAGCAGTGTGGTATTACAATGAGCCCATTGTAACCACATATTTCCACTTAACAAGTGACTGCCAGCCTGTATTTGATTAATGCCATTAGAACGAGTGGCCATTGTTTACCTTGTAATTTATTAGATGTAGGCTTTCCAAAAGGGACTTCAAGTAGACACCTAATTCTTATGGACTTTTAATTATAATTGAATTAGCTTCATTAAGCACCTCTGAAAACCCGATCTGAAATGATTTGGCAGGAAGAGAAATGCTTCTGAGCCTTAGGACAGGGTTTGTCCTTGGTAGTTTTTTTTAAAGAGAGGATGCAAGATTTGCATGAACTGGAAGACTAACCTATGTCTTTGGCAATTTCTAGACCACAGAGAAGGATCTGGCTGGCATAGCGGTGGAGGCAGCCTTTGTAACAGGCAGTGAGAGTGCTCCAGCACAAAAGACTCCACTCATCTGCTGCGCAGACGGCCTTGATCAGGACACCTTTAAAATTGTGAGATACTGAATAGAATTTAGCAATAGAAAAAGTCAGTGGCATCTCAGGTTCTTGAGAGAGAGGGGGGCAAATAAAACCCAGGAGTTTGGCAGAGAGAGCAAAAAGGCAGGACAAGACACCTCATTCTGTAGCTTTCTTCCATGTCTGAAAGTTTCTACCTCATCATTGGTTTCCAGTCATCTGGACATCACACTTTAAAAAAAAAAAACAAAACACTTTTTTAGTTAAAAAAAACCAAACCACAAAAAACAACAACCACCAAAAAATTACATTTCACATACACTGCTAAGTTTTTCAAACAAGTACTGCTACATTATTTCACATGACGCCATGTGCTCCCTGGCTATGGTGGTTTGGTTCCTCTGCATCACTTACGCCACAGCCACAAAGCTCCATCTCATGCCATCCTGCCCCACCGTGGGATATGACCCTCCTGTTCCTGGTGCATCATGGCATAACCACACACAGCCCCAGTCACAGTCCAGTATTCATAACAGACAAAAAAAAAAAAAAAAAAAGAGATGGACAAAAGGGAGGGCATCTAGATGCAGCGTTTGCTCCTGCGTCACGTGCAAACATTTGCAACACATCCCAGGTTTGGCCACAGGAAGAAGCAGCGTGAGAAAAGCAGTAAAGCGGTTCCCGTTCCCCCTCCCTGCAGAACAACAGCTCTTTTATAGCCTGAAATTTCTCTCTTTTGCCCTACAATGTTAAAAAGGAATTCCCAGTCTTGGAAAACCCTCAATTTCCTTTTCACGTCACCTTTGCCCTGGGTGTCACCAACCTTGGGACACACAGGAGCGACTCCTGCAA